GAAAAGTGACTAACTCATAAGCCTATGACCTTCATTTAAATAAAACCAAGACTATAAAACTTTGTTTGTTAGACCTTTCACACTTGTGTTAGTTACCTTGGATCAGTAGCAAAAGCCTGGTCTAAGGCTCCAGTTACCAAGGCACAGCATTCTTTTTGGGCACTTACAGTTCAAGGGTACTTTAAGACTGAGAACCAAGTTTCCCATATTGATAACCATCAGAGTTATTAGCACCTGCCCAACTCATACTATAAGAAAGCCACTAACAAGTGGGTCCTTTCAGAAGCTGTCAGATCGTGACCCTCTATCTACCCACTGTCGTATTTTCAATCTTCCATCTTAATTTCCTGATGCATCATCATTCTTCAGAATGGAGAGAGGCTTCATGCCAGACCTAGTCTGTCTTTGGCTTAAAGAAATCTTCAGGCAAAAGATTGATGTCCATGGACGATTTCAAATGAGCAGCAGATGCTTATTGTGAGATGCTTTTACAAGCTAGCCAGAACAGCAGCAGTTATGTTCACAATGGGAGCAGGCGAGCCCTTTGTAACTGGATTTGAATGAGCACTGCATCATGCCCGGGTCCTGCCTGGCTGAGTTCTCATTTGGAAGTTGATATGACAAGAAATGTTCATTCTTGAGCCCTCTTTCTTTTTCTACCTTTTGTTTTGTATAATAAACCATATTGGGTCTTTACCAGAAGAGATGTCAGTTTACAAGGTACCAAGATGGCTGCCTGCTGCTGAGGTATACATTTTCAGATCCCACGTAAGCCTGGAGAGGATCTTGCTGGGAAAGTCTGAAGGTTCCTATAAAGAGAAAAGGAGTAGCATTTCCAACTTTGTGACCAGATTCAGTTCTGGAAAATCACCCATTATGCAAATGAGAGAGATAGAGGGTGACCCGAGGCTGGAGGCTCTCCCCTAAGAATGCCTGAGTCTCCCTAAAATGCCTGTATGGCTTGACTCTCCATAGTTGAATGTCTGCAAGGTCCAAACCATAAACATAAGATGTAGGGATGGGAGTGCAGCTTAGTAGTAGAGTACTCTCCCTAGCATTTTCAAGGTCTGGGGTTCAAACCCTGATGCCCCCTCCTCCCCCCCACACATTCACACACTGAAGCTAGCAATTGTCCTTAGCTTTTATTCATTTATTTTATCTGTAGCCCTGTCAAATTGGAGTAGAGCACAAGAACCTGTGTGTTCATTTGTAACCTGTCATGTATAGAAAAGTCGTGGGAGTGGGTACAAAATCCACTTGCTTCAAAGGAGCCAGAACAGCAGCGGCAGGGACTGCTACTTGGTGACTTTTCACCTGGGAGGGCGGGGTCGGAACACCCAGGACAATGTCCTCCTCACTGGCAGATCCAGTCTTCCTTCGCTTGCTGTCTTTGCCTTAGGCTGGCATATTGGCCTGCCTTGTTCAGAAGTCCTCCTCATTTCACACTGTGTCTGCAGGGCATGAAGAGCAGAAGTACTTCAAGTTGTGGGTTTGGAAGCTGCAAGCCACAGGGTTCAGCCTTTAGGATTCTACCTTTGACCAACTCCTCCGCCTCCTTTTTGGAAATGCAGATTAATCTTAGTGACCCTCTCCACAGTTCCCATCAACAACTTAAAACAATAGCAACTTGATTACACCCTTCACCCACAAGGGACTTTGCACTTGAAAGACAAGAAGTAGTTTTGTGGAGCAGAACATTCTTTGAAAGCTCTGGGTGGAGGAAAGCACTTGTTTAAGGGACTTAATTGATAGAAAGAAGGAGCTTGTAAAGGGTTGCCCGAGTTCAAAGGCACCGCTTTTAATCCCAAACCATTTTCATTTTACTTAACTTTTATTTCTTTCTGGGTGACTAAACTGTAAACTTCTATTAATCTACTGCCAAGTAATTTTTCTTAAGGAGGTAGATATGTTATATGATCCACAGCCAGGAGACGCCTCCCAGGAATGTCGGTTGGACAGCTTTGTGTGCTGAAAACAGAGGCCCCAAAAAGTAGGCCGTTCTGTTTTCTATGTGGAACAGATCCTTTCTCTGACAAGTGTGCGCCACTGGGAAGCAGCACTAGTACTTGTGTAAGTGTGAAAATGCCAAGCCTCTGGCCATCCCGGATCTTGGGGAAAGCAGCCTAAATGCTCTTGTAGTTGTGATTTTGTAGTCGTAGAATAGCCAACATGCTAACTGTTGTGTGGGGCTTAATCCAAGTCACACGGATGCAGCTGCAGAGAAAGCTCAGCTTCAGGGGGTAACATTTGGCATTTAGGGACAAATGGGAAGATTGCAGAAACAGCCAAGAAGTGAGTGGTTGCTGGGAGGAGGAGCATTTTATCCAAACTTTTCTGCCCTTTCTTGCTAAACCAACAGGCTTGTAATAAGGTATTCAGACTTGCGCACAATGTGATTTTTATTTTCTCTGGCACTTTGGGACATTGAAGAACTTACACAAGTGGCCAGAGCTGAGAATGTCAACAGATGTAGTTTCTTCAAACAGAAAATGGTGAGATGGGTTGGCTGGACCATCTTTATAATAATGGCCCCCATCGTGACATGTGTAGTCATTTGGACTGTTGTAATAACAACACGGATCAATCCTGCAGCCACCCTTTTCTTGACATTTATTCTCTAGAGGAAAATGTGAATTTAGTCAGATAATTATACTCTGTCCTCTTGGTTACTTGGCTTACATTCTGTGAACTACTCACCTATATTGGGCCTTTCTTGGCTTTGATAGACTGGCACTCGTTTTAATTGGCTTTGAATTCAGGATAATTTCGAGAAAACCTATCTGAGATATTTAATGTTGCACAGACATTGCTTAATACACTGTCCTTTAAGGTTGGCAGTGTTTAATATGAGGCATTAATTGGAAATTAACTGGTAGACAGGCTCCTAAAAGGGACATAATTATGAACTACTCAAGAATATGTTCCATCTCTGCTCACTAGGGTAGCTTCAATCAAAGCATCAGAGAGTAGAGCTGGGTGATGGCTCAGCAAGATCATCTTCTTCATAAGCATGAATACCTGAGGCCAGATCCCCAGCACTCATGTAACAAGTCTGGCGGAGCACATGCCTGTAATGCCAGCACTGTGGGGAAAGAGACAGGATGATCGCTGGGGCTTGCTGGCCACCAGCCTAGCTCCAGGTTCAGTGAGAGATCCTGTCTCAAGGGAATAACATGGAGAAGGATGCAGCAGGCCACCCAAATCCTCCAGCCTCTTGTGTGCACACACACACCCCAACCAGAGAATAAAAGTGTTGATTAGAAGGTAAAGAATTTGGAACTTGGTGCACTACTGGTGGGGTTATTCATAGCAGGAGCATTCAAACTTGCCAGAAGGTCAAAGCAACCCAAATGTTCATCAGTGGAATCGGTAGATAAGCACAATGTTGTATAAACACACAAAGGACTATTTATTATTCAACTTTAAAATGGAAGAAAAAAATTCTTTTGAGACAAGGTCTCATGTAGCTTGGGCTGGCCTCAAACTCACTATGTAGCCAAAGATGTCCTTCAATTTATGATCCTCCTGCCTCCACCTCCCAGATGTTGGCATTACAGATGTGTATCACTGTACCCAGTTTTACGGGGTGCTGGGGATGGAACCTGGTGCTAAGCAAACATTCTACCAACTGAGCTGCATCCCTGGTCCTGAAGGTAAAAACAGTTTTGCAGGTAGACAGTGGTGATAGTCCTGAGGCAGGTAGGTGAAAAGCAATAATGGTTGCACAAGAGATGTAAATGTTCTGTTCTTTTTCCTTCTTTTCTTTTTTCAGAGGAGGGGGTTGGGGGCAGACAGGGTCTCCCTGTAGCCCAAGCTGGTCTGGAACTTGCTGTGTAGACCCAGCTGGCCTTGATCTCACAGAAATCTGCTTCCTGAGTACTGGGATTAAAGGTGTGCGCTACCATGCCCAGCGAGATGTAAAAGGTTCTTAATATCATTAAGCCATACACTTGATGATGGTTAAGATGGTAAACTGTTCATTATGTATATTTTATCACAGTCAAAATAAATACAATATTGGATCAGCAAATGACCTTATGGACAGAAGTGCGGACTGAGGTAATGCGTACAGGATGTTGCATTCAATAGACTTAGATCCTCCAGTTGTTTCCTACCTGCTCCAGAGTCCGGGGAAATTTGCATATGTTGCAAATCTCTTCAGATCCACACTTTCCCTGCCTCATATCTAAGAATTCACCACAATTCTCTGACCTTCCACATAGCTTCACCTTCATTGTAGGAGTCAGCAAGACACACACAGAGCTGTTTGGTCAAGAAACACAGATCCCAGGACTATCATATAAAACGCCCACCCTGAACCTATTGGGTCACCTTTTGTCACCTTTGAAGAATAATCATGGAAAGGCAAAATGAAGGCACAGGGGACAGTAGCCATAGAAAACTCTAGAAGTGTAAGTTGATTTTTATCCCAAAGATTTTGAATCACATCATACTGAGGACCAGCGGGTGAATGAATGCTTACCAAGCAAATGGATTTTAATTTGAAGGATAACCTAGTGAGTCTTTGTGTTTGATTTCAAGAAGGTCTCATCTGTTAAGAGATGACCCTGAAAAAATGCAAATTATATCATGGTCTTGGTTTAGCCTAGGTTGTGTTTTTGTCTCCATCTCTAAGCAAATTACATCAAGATTTAATTGACACATTTCCTTCCCCATAGCCATCCTGAAAGCCAACTCAGATTTGAGGAAGAGGTTGGACACTGGACTTCATAGTGACTTTGGTAGCTTTACATTTTGTCCCACCTATAAAATGGCTGTAGATATTCCATATTTAGCAAAAATAAGAGCTCTGTGTTCATTACATTAGATCTGTGACAACCAATATGCTCACCTCAAAAGTCACCTTCAACTGCCTAGCCAAATACCTTGGACTGAGAAGATGGGACACCTCCCACTGTCACACCCATCAAGACAAATAGGATGTTCTTACACTTCAAGAAATATGTTTGAACTAAATCTCCTTCCTCTCTTCCCCCAAGCTTCCGCAGGTTCACTCGGTCCAACAGTGTGACAACTGCAGTACAGGCTGACCTGGACTTCCATGACAATCTGGAAAATTCTCTGGAATCTATAGAGGACAATTCGTGTCCTGGCCCAATGGCCAGACAGTTCTCCCGTGATGCCAGCACTTCCACAGTCAGCATTCAGGGCTCAGGAAACCATTACCACGCCTGTGCAGCCGACGATGACTTTGACACGGATTTTGATCCCTCTATCCTGCCTCCTCCGGACCCCTGGATTGACTCTATCACAGAAGACCCTCTGGAGGCCGTTCAAAGGTCTGTGTGCCACCGGGATGGCCACTGGTTCCTGAAGCTCCTCCAGGCAGAGAGAGACCGCATGGAAGGGTGGTGCCAACAGATGGAGAGAGAAGAACGGGAAAACAACCTGCCTGAGGACAGTAAGTAGTGCTACTATGCATGTCTGTGGCCATGGTGTGGACCGTGCTTGGTCTGCATTTGTGGGTTTTCTTGTTTTCTTCCCTGCCAGCTCCACTTATGTAACCTTTCCATTTCACACCTCAAATCAGAACATGTGGAAGCGCTAGGCAGTTCCATCTGAAAGATCAGAAGCTCCTGTACTGCGCAGGGAAAACGAAGCCACTGGGCAGCTGTCACATCTTCTGGCTCTAAGATCTGTAACCTCCTTTTCTTCTTTGAAAAGCATCATTAGTGGAGGTATTCTTCTCTACCAAGTCTGCCTTCTCCCAAGGTGATCTGAAGTGGCACTGATCCCGGGGAGCTGAAAATAATACTAGTTTCAAGGTCCTTGGATGTCTTTGATTCTTTTTGTGCTGTATAACAACTTAAGGGAGAGAGGGTTTATTTCAGCTCACAGCTCAAGGTCACAGACCATCATTGTGGTGGAAGCCCAGGAGTTGGAGCTTGAAAGCAGCTGATGACATTTCCCCCACAGTCAGAAGAGAGAAATGTGTGCATGCATGCTGGGGCTCTGCTTGCTTTTCTACTCACAAAGCCTGTATTTCCTACCTAGGGAACGGTGTCACCCACAGCAAACAGGTCTCCCCACTTCAATGAATGAAGTCAAGATAATCTCCCATCCAAGTATGTGGTGCACACTCCAGCACTTACTAGGCAGAGGTAGGCATATCTTTGTGAGTTCAAGTCTAGCCTGGTCTACTTAGCAAGTTCCAGGCCAATCAGGACTACATAGTGAGAGAGACCATGTATCAAAATAAATACAGTTACCAGTTACCTTCTCTAAAAGGATATGTCCTAGGAACAATGCCAGTTTTTAAAGAACAGTGGAATCTGGGGCTCTGCTCAATAGGACCGGCTGTCCTTCCAGATTTTCATTCATTCAGTTCACTAATTCGGGACATACACTAGCATCCCAGTTGGCTTTCAGTAGACCCCAAGGAAGCTACTCATGTGATGTTTTCCTTTAATTGACCTCACAATCTGAGATTAGAGTTTCTTTTCTCAATGTAGCTTTTTTTTAGACAGGATCTCACTATGTAACCCTGACTGACCTAGATCTCCCTATGTAGACTAGGCTGGCCTTGAACTCAGAGATCTGCCTGCCTCTACCTCCTGAGTGCTGGGATTAAAAGTGTACAGCACCACACCCAGCTTCAACCCAACTTTAAAATGATGTACAGGGATATTCATTTTGTAAAGATTTGGGGAAAGCTAACTTCAGACTAAGAGGCTATGAAAATAGGTCAGTGTAAAGTCCAACATGGTAGCACATCTCTGTAATCTAGCACTCGGGAAGTGGAGGTAGGAGAATCAAGAGTTCAAGGTTATCCTTGGCTACATAGAGAGTTCAGAGCCATCCTGGACTGCATGAGACCTTGTCTTAACTAAATTTTTAGGAAAAAATGATATATTAGGATGTATTAAATGTATAAAAAGTCATTGTATTCCAGCATAACCACAAATGTTGAAAGTCCTGCAAAACAGACACACACACACACACACACAAACACACACACACACTCAGCATTTATTTTAACACAAAGCATATGTTCAGGTGGGTTCATAACTGTAATTGATCAAGAACTCAAGATTATCTTTGGAAGAAAGAAGAAGAAAGCAAAGAAGGAAAGCAAGCTATAATACTAATATAATACTATAACACTTTAAGAATACTATATCAAAATAATGAGTATGAAGGATTTGCCCAACCATTTACTGTTCCAGGCTGAATTTGCTGTTCAGGATGAACTGGGTGTGACTTCCCATCACTTTTGGAATACATTAGTTTCCAACATTATTTTGACAGTTTGTGCTCTCTCTTTTCTGCTAGAAGGAAAATGTTCTTAAGTTAGAAATTACTCTGATCCTATCCTCTGTACAGCCTTCATGTCTGCCACATTAGAGGAGATCATTAGGTGTGTATTTGAAATTTTATTTTACAAAACTTTTTTACTTAGCCAATCCTTTTTTCCTAGTTAAAAAGTAATTAGTAACTAATGGCTTAGTCTTTTCAGGTCACTATAACAAAATACTGTAGACTAGGTAATTTATAAACAATATAAATTTGTGACTCACCATTCTGGAGGCTGGAAAGTCAAAGATGAAGGTACTAATGAGGGCCCACTCTTTGCTTCTAGGCTGGCACCTTTCTGCAGCATCTTCATATTGTGGAAGGGGTATGCAAGCTCCCTCATGCCTTTTTTAGAAGGCACTAATCCTATTCATGAGAGCCCCACCCTCATGATCTCTTATAGGCTTTTACCTCAGCGATTCAGGTTCATCTCAGAATCTTAGGGGGATACACGTCAGCCCACACCAAGTAACCAGCAGTTATTATTGTCAAAAGCTTCAAGGACCGTTCGCATGTGACATGTTGGGGGCTCCTCTGATCAGGGCAAGGGTTTGGCAGGGATATGGACACCTGTCACACAAGGAATGAAAAGGACATCTGTGCTGGCTGGGTGGATAGTCTAGGTGAGCCCTGTGTGTCCCTTCTAGCTCCTAAGATACAATTTCATCACACAAACACTTGAAACACTTCTGTTTTTTCCTCATGAGAAACACATGCTTTAAACGGACAAGGTTCCAAAATTCTGAACAGTACAGCTGCTAACTCCCAAGACAAAAAGTCACCAATTACAGATGAAGTAAATCCAAGTCCGTAGGAATCAGACCCTAAAAGGAGCAAGAAGCACCCAAGAGAATCTGCATTGTCCTCAGGACCCGTGACAGTGGGCTTGGGATGAGGACAGGTGCTGCTGTATTTGCCTTCAAAACAGCTCTCTGGCTATGTCTTGTCCAAGGTCACAGGACATTGAAGTGTTTGATAGAACAGATACAACACATGTAGCATTTGACAAGAGAAGGATACTTTGTGTGGGTAGGACCCTCAGGAAAGGGCTCCACACAGTTGCCCCTGCCTCACTGGCCGCTCTCTCCTGTTCTGATGGCTGGCCTGAAGTTGCACAGGGCTTTGTTCCCCGAGTTCTCTGATTTAGTCTTTCATTCTTTTTCTCTTCTTTCCTTTCCTTTCCTTCCTTTCTTGAGTTAGGTAAGGGAAGAGGCCAATCCCATTTGGCAGGAAAGAACTAAGTTCTAAGTAACCAACTTTTGTTTGCTTTAATCTGTGTTCACATATGCAGAAAAAACCAAAACCAACCAACCAACCCTAGCTTTGATAACTAAGTCAAGCACAGGTATATCTGGCCCATCCACATCAGGAGGTGCTTTAATCAGGCAACAAATTTTGTGTTCTTTTTCCTGATGAAGGGAGAGAGGACAGAAGGGAGGGAGGGAGGAGTCCTCTTAACAAAATCTTCCCAGGAGACCTCATTTTCATAGTTGCCATGGAAAAATGAATAGGACAGAGCAAGAGAAGAGAAAATTTCAAACATGCTTGCTTAATTTACCTTGTGGAGTACCAAAGTTATCCCAATTAACTTGTTTGTTTATTGAGACAGGGTTTCACTGTGTAGCCCTGGCTGGCCTTGAACTCACAGAGATCTACCTGTCTCTGCCTCCTGAGCACTGGGTATCCCAATTTTTTTTTTTTTTTTTTTTTTTTGGTCTTTTTGAGACAGGGTCTTTCTGTAGCCCCAGCTGTCCTGGAACTCACTATGTAGACCAGGCTGGTCTTGAACTCACAGAGATCGACCTGCCTCTGCCTACCAATGCTGGGACTACAGGCGTGCGCCACCATGCCCCGCGTGTATCCCAATTTTTAAATATTTAAAATGTTTAGTGCATGGACTTAATGCTTCCCATCGTACTCTTAAAAACAGTTGTGAGGCCAGCGAGATGTCTCACCAGGTTAAAGTTCTTGCTGTCAAACCTGAAAACCTGAGTTCCAGCCCCAGAAACCACATGGTGGAAGGAGAGAACTGACTCCCACAAGTTGTCCCCTGATCACACATGTACTGTGGAATGCTAATGCCACACTCCCAACATACCAGACAAATAAATGAATAAAAAAAAATTTTTAATTGGTTGTGCTAGAGGTATAGCTCAGTGGTAGACAGTTTATCTAGCCTGTGCAAGGCTTTTGGTCCAATCCCTAGCAACACATAGGTGTGTACACACACACACACACACACACACACACACACACACAGGCTCTGAAAGCTGTCATCATAAAAGTTATAAGATACAACACATAGGTGTGTATATACACACAGACACACAGACACACACAAACAGGCCCTGAAGCTGTCATCATAAAAGTTATAAGATATTTTATTAAATGTCTTTCTGAATTCAAAATAAAGATGTCCACTGGACGTGGTGGCACACACCTTTAATACCAGCACTCGGGAGGCAGAGACAGGTGAATCTCTGGGTTTGAGGCCAGACTGGTCTCCATAGCGAATCCAGGCCAGCTGTGGCTACAGGGAGACCCTGTCTCAAAAAGACAAAAATATAAATAAATACATAAAAATAAAGATGTCCACAGTGAGAGAGGAAGAGAGAGAGAGAGGTGAGGAATCTATTTGCTTGTTAGGTATGGGTATTTAAGAGTCATCTTTGTTAGAAAAGGAAAGATCCATTTTATTTTAAGTGATTATTCATTATCAATTCCCCTAACACTGACAGCTCCTCCCACAAATACTATTTTTGGCATTCCCAGACTAGAAAACATTTTCCTGGTTTTCATGGAACCGACTCCTCTCAAGTGCTTATCACAGTGAAGAAACTCCTCACCTCCAGCTATCTTTTGAAAAGAAAGCATAAATTCTTTGGGTGTGTGGAACTATTATTTCCCCTGATAAAAGCAAAACAGAACAAAGACTTTGGTTCTTGTCTTAAGCCTCCAATCCTCCCAGTCTACAGTGGGTTTGGGGCCAGAAAACAGAATAATGGAAGTCTGCAGTGAGTAAGGCGCCCTACGAGCACAGTCAGTGACAGAATGCTTGTTCCCCTTGTAAGATGATACCAGCTCTCCTCAGACAATGCAGCCCTTGTG